GGATTTATTTTGGCAAAACATATGCAGCAGGGGGAGAGTGAAAAGGCGGATTTCCCTAAAGAGGCATCAATAAAACTCTCACATCACTGCTGTCACATACAAGACAGGGGAAAGAGGGAAACACACACACACACACACACACACACACAGCATTTCAACCCAACTGCAGCAGGATCACACAGAATAGACGCTGTTCGCCCTCCACCACTGATCAGGAGGTGCAGCTCCGCTCCTGCTGCAGCTGGACTCCTCCTCTCCTCCTCTCCTCCTCTCCTCCTCTCCTCTTCTCCTCCTCTGGTTGTGCACACTGAACTGCACTGTACGCTTCCGTGTGTGTAAATGTGTGTGTGTGTGTGCGCGCCCTGGGCCAAATCAAACGCGCGCCCTTGGCTCCTGCGGCTTCCCTCATTGGCGCAGAGCTGCAGCCAATTGCTGCGTGTGTTTATCGTGGAAGGAGGGAGGGAGAGGGGGTGGCAGGAAGGGGGAGGGGGAGGAGGAGGGTGGGAAGGGTAGGGCAGCAGGGTAGGGGGTGGAGGTGCGCTGGGGGAGCGCGTCACGGGCACGCTTTCACATTGTCGTTCTCAAACCAATGGGCCTGTATAGTGTGCGCCCACCGTCCTCCCCCTCCACCCCCTCTGTCTCTCTCTCTCTCTCTCTCTCTGTGTGTGTACGTGCACACGCAGAGACACACACCCTCCTCCCTACCCCCTCCCTTCTCCTCCTCCCGGCGTGTCTGTGTGTAAGTGTGTGAGGCTCCGGCTGCATGAACGAGCCTCGTTTCACTCACACACTCACTCCACTACAAGCCTGAACTTCTACGCTGCGTCTCTGCCATTCCTCCACTGACTGACTGACTGGCTGACTGACTGACTGACTGCACAGAGCACAGTCCACAGCAGCAGCAGCAGCAGCAGCAGCAATAGCAGCAGCAGCAGAGGATGTAATCAATCCCACATGTTCCTGAGACCCGGGGATTTTCACTTTGAATATTTTTAAAATACTTTTTTCAGCCCTCCATCCTCTCCTCCAGTAGCCTGGATAGAAGTTAGCTGTAAGTAGCCCGACCTTTGTGCTCGTGTCTGTGTTTTTTATACCGTGTTTTTATCTCGGTTTCTGTGCTTGTGTGAGGGCTGCGTGGACGAGGAAGGAGAGAGAGGGTGATTTAAATTCTGTCGTTTTCTGCAAAAAGCATGCACGGGGCGCAGATGCATTTATTTTTCAACCAAAAAAAAAAACACACACACACACACTGACTGCTGCGCCTTCTTTCTTTCTTTCTTTCTTTCTTTCTTTCTTTCGGTCCATTGGAAGAACACAATATTAAAAATACACTCATAAAACCACGGGGTAAATTAAAAGCCCTCCTTCTTTAAGGAAGATCTTTACATTATAGGAAGTATTCAGCGGAGTGTCGTTGCAGCTGCTGGCCGTCTCCAAAGCTCAGAGGCCGGACTGTTATAACGTGACCTCTTCCTCTCCCTCAGAAAACTAAAAAAGAACCCACCCCGTCTTTCAAATCGCCTCCGTACGATTGTAATTCTATAGATGATGAATTGTAGATTATTTCTGTGTGTGCTCGTTCATGTTTGTGTCTCATTTGTGGAGAAAATAAGCAGAAAGATTGTGCTTTATTTCCCCTTGAAGCGCACTGCGCTCCGCGGCGTTCAGTCTGTGCTGACGCCCGGCTGCCCTCACCTCGGCCCGGCTCTGGACTCTGCTGTGTGCCGGTCCTCTCCCGGTGTCACGGTTAAATTCCTCCTTTTGTTATTTTTGACTCTAAATTTGTGGGAAAAAAGTCCCAAACACGGCAAAGGCGAGCGCCGTTAGATCAGCATCAGGAAAAATTTAATCGCACACATTTTTATGTGTAAAGTCAAAATAACAAAATATATTATAGCGTACGCATTCTCCGTTTCTGTTCAAAGTGTTATTATTAATTTAAAATGATGAATTTTCTTTTTTATTATCTTATTAGTTTTTATTTTTTGTGGATTTGTGTCATTTTAAACAGCACTGTTACCTCAGCAGGGGCTTTTCCACTGGCACCGTGTCGACCCTTTGCATGGCACTGATGGCAGGAGTGTGTGTGTGTGTGTGTTTAGGGTAGCTGTGTGTGTGCCTGTGTTTGTAGTCGTTATTGTTGCCTATTTAGGGCAATTTCTGGCTGTTGCTGTTGATTTTTAAGGACCAGTGTGTTTCCAAATGGGACTATTTTTCCTCTCTCTCAGCAGCCGAGCGAGGCAGATGGGTTCACACTGTGGTTCTGTCAGAGACAAGATCTTTTTTTTTATTTTTGACCTCCGTACTGTCACCAAGTGTTTTCTCGTAGGTGCAGTTGTACTTTTGTTTTTCTGTCTTGAAGACTTTGATGTTAGTGCGTAGACGATGTAAATATATTGACAGTCGAACTGAGGCGCAGTGTCTCAGTGGACTTTGGATGTACCTAGATCTGAGTCATCTGTTGGAACTGTGGCCCAAAACCTGATTCTGACGAGGACGAACTTTATTTCTAAAGCTCTGGTCGAAGTAAGAAGAGACATGAATTCCTCCTGGGTTCAGATTAGTTGAGCGTTAACCTTTTTCAGTTAAGGTCTGGTACTAACCCTGATGATCCGTGTACGGTCCTAAGAAAAATATCTGTGCGCGCGTGTGTGTGTTCGAACGAGTTTAGCTCGTGTCTTTCTCTCTCTCTCTCTCACTCACACTCACACACACACATAAAGCAGCACATCCAAATGATCCACTTCGAACCAAACTGCTCTGCCCTGTTCGGGGACTCGATCGTGTCGTCGTGCGTGTTTTTTGGTCCGGCGTTTGCGCAGATAAGACTGATTTGGTTCTGGGTTTGGACCGGTTCAAATGTAGCCCAAGTGGCTCTGTGTTGACATGGAATGTAAACACGCAGGACGTGTGTTTACGGGCCTCCAAATTTAAAAACGTATAGACAAACGTCAGAGCAGAGTGGGCCGTGATTGATGTCCTGCTGAGAAGGACCATTGTTTCTCCCAGGGCCGGTCTGCAGAGCAGGGAGAGTCCATTTTACCTTCCCCAGTGCGTACACACTCGACCCCCCCCCCCACCACCACCACCACTCACCCCCTACTGCAATTAATGGAGAATGTGACAGAACGCATGTTGACGTTTGTATGTATTTTACCAATGTTACAACCCTTTACTCACGAGACCCAGCTGTTTTCTTTAACATTACAATAATACAAAGTCTTTTTTCAGAGACTTTGATTCCTCTTCACCACAATGTTGTCGCACGAGGCTTCGCGTGATCTAAACTTTTTACACACAATTCACGAAGAGTTCTACAGAAGCACTGGTGTGTGTTAGAGTGTGAGACCGCGTGTGTGTGTGTGTTCGTGTGTGTTTTCTTGTATGTCTTATATTCTTATGCACTTCAAAAAGCCCCCTGGTCCACCACAGCATTTGATTTTTTCTTTGTTCCTTTATCGTTGATTCCTGGGAGCTGCTGGTATCAGCACACACACACACACACACACAGCTGTGGAGCTATAGATGGACGTGCCATGCATTGAAAGGCCTGCAAAAGAGAGAACACAGGAGATGGACTGCTGAGGTGTGTTTTTGGTGAAGGCGCACGGACTCCCTCATTTCTGTGGGGGGGGGGGGGGGGGGGGGGGTCCTATTTAGGTAAATGACCTGGGTTATAAGGCCTACATATAAAGTCGATGAGTCTATTTCACTCTTTATTGCCGCCACAGAGCATAAAGGTGATTTGATTTGTGTTTGTGATTACAGTCAGCCTTATATCGTGTGTGTGTGTGTGTGTGTGTGTGTGTAGCAGGAGACGCACGGCCACTGCCATTGTCAGAGAACGTGGGCCACTGCTGCTGACTCCAGAAGGGGTGAAGGCTGTGTTGAAGCCCCGTTTTCATTAATAAACAACAGGAAAACACCGCCACGGTGTAGAGTCAAACATGAGTCCAAAATACGCAGTTAGTGCATGAAAACAAGACGAGGTGACGTCAGATGTGATTGATGAAAGGTGTGTGTGTGTGTGTGTGCTCCTCAGCTTCACCTTTTGCCTTTTTTCGCTCTTTCTTTTGTTAATTATTAAGAATTCAAGCCAAGGTGACACGATAAACACACCACCTTCTATGGTCCAGTTTGGTGGAAAGAAAATGTAAAAAACTCAGTTCTTTTCTTTGAGACATTTGTGTCCAGAAGTCTTGTTGTTGTCCTAACGTCTTCCAGGCGTCACTCTGTTCCTGCTCTCGCTCTTTTCGTGTTTCAGGTCAAAAAGACCCCGCGACCTCCGACGTCCGGCCTCCAGCGCTGGTCGGCTCCAACTTCACGAGTATTTTTGTCTTAAAACCTGGGAACTCGTGCTCGGTTTCTCTGTACCTGAGCCAAAATCCGCGTTTCCTCCGCTCTAAATATACTTCCCATTCTTTTTGGCTGTTTTCAGCCCTGGGTGTGTGTGTGTATGTTTGTGCGTGTGTGTGTGTGTGTGTGTTTGTGCGTTCTTCTGGCATAGTGTTTGGTCACAGGATGATGATGAGGAAGAAGAGGAGGAGGAGGAGGAGGAGCAAGGAGGGCAAAGGCTCAAGCGTTGGTGCCAAATATGTAGCGCAGAGTAAATCCACCATCAAGTCACTTCTTCCTCGCCGGGTTCCTTCTTCCATCTGCTACGCATTTGACGTTTACGCATTTTTGCGTAGCTGGTGGTGAGGAATCAGCGTGGACAGACTGTGACTGTTTTTTTTTTTGTTTGTTTTGTTGTTGTTGTTGTTTTTTTTAAGTGTTTCGACATTTTGGGGGGCTGGGGGTGGAGGGTGTTTTTTAATGTAGATGCTGCCTGTTTGTCCAGACCTGTGTCTCAGCTCAGCCTCTCTCTGCTGCGCTCACACATCCCTGTTGCCTGGCTCATTATTATTGTCAGCGCTTTTGACGCGTCCCTCTCTCTCTCTCTCCATTGCTCCCCCCCTTCTCTCTCTCTCTCTCTCTCTCTCTCCCTCTCCCTCTCTCAGGACATGACGGGGACGCAGTTTCTGCCCTGCACAGCCAAAAGTCCGCTCCATGCGAGGGGAGAGCGAAGTTCATAAAAAGGGATTATTTTTATTATTATTATTTGAATCCGGGGGTCTGCGGCTGAGACGCCCTCGGCTGCCACCACCACCTCCTATTCCGGATTTTACTTCCTGGGATTTGGGATTTTACCGCTTTTTATCGCCGAGATGGAGAGCCGAGATTTCGCTCCTCCGCACCACCTCCTGACGGAGCGCAGCGCGCTGGTTCACAGCGCTGCGTCTCGGATGGCGCCGGGCGGCCACGGCTCCGTGCAGCACCCGGCGCACTTCCAGCCCGGGAAATACTTCTCATCCCACATCTCCATGGCTGCGCACTCAGGTCAGTGGTGAAGTCAGCGGCTCTTGACTCACAGTTAAAAAAAAAATCACTTTACTGTCTTTTGTCTGAAACATATGTTCTCCATATTTGCAAAACTTGGGAGGAATTCAAGCTGGTGTTTTTGTTTTTTTGAGGAGGGTGTGTGGGATTTAGACGAACGAGAATTTACAGTGAAGGGAAATCAGTCCAACTCAAGAGGGCATTTACAGATTAGCACAGAAAAGAAAAAGGCACAGTCATGTATGGAGCACTTTTATGTTTTTACTCTATTTAATGAACTGTTTATGACATATAGCTGCTTTGCTGCGCTTGTTACAGGAAGATAAATAAAATTGACAGTTGGCTGTTTTCAGCCATGCGTAAAAGCCAGAAGAAAAGAAAAGGGAAAGGGAATCAGACCTTACATTTTATATTAAATATAACCTTTACTTACTCCACGGTAGAGTGTGTTCACGGTATATGAACTCACATGTAATTATTGACAAACCACAATATGTCAAAATGATATTCGGATCATTAATATTTTGTTTATTAAGTTTTTCTGGACTTTATTCAAATTAATTTCGATTTAAAAACTAACAAACATCTTCTTGTGTTTGTTAAGAAGAACACTTTTATATTGTTTCTGTTTCATTTAAGGTTATTTGTTTAGACATTTCTTCCCTTTTGCCTAGTTTCTGTGTGTTTACGGTTTTGGGAATTAAGACAATTTATCAGCGTCTGAATCATTTCAAATTTACTGGGAATGACGAGTCAACTATTCAAATCTGGTGTTGACTAAATAATCACACGACGTCGTCAGGATTCTCTCAATGACAGAAATACACACAAAGACGAAAGTGGGTTTGATTATCGTTTCCTCTCAGTTCCAATTATTTTATGCACCGAATTACCGTCAGATGAGGCCACGGTGAATAGAACAGAATCGTCAGCCGTGTCTTAATCCTAATCCTTATTCTTTTTAAATGCCTTAATCTTGTCACAGATGCCTGTGCTTTTATTAACCAGTGGATTGTTAGCCATTGCCTTTTGTTGTTTTATTAATTGGAGTCGTGTAAATCAGACGATTTAAAAAAAAATCAATAAATAAACATCGATAAATAGCAGTTTTCTCCTGTTGTTCCACCTGGATCTACGGTGGCCTGGTGTCGACGTGGACTCAGGTCTGGCCGGTCTGTTGGTGGTTTGCACCGGTCACAGACGCAGTGGTGGAGNTAGAGGTGCGGGTAATACCAGAAAATCCGGTCTCTATATTGAGCGGGGGGACGTGACGGGGTGCGAATGGGTTGACAGTGCATGCATTAGATTTAACAAGTAGCTTTGGTATCCTGTCTCAATAGGAGGAGGAGGGGGTGGGGAAGGTGTGTGTGTGTGTGTGTGTTAGAGAGAGAGAGAGAGACAGAGAGACAGAGAGAGAGAGAGAGAGAAGAAAGACGCAGAGGCACCGTTGGAAATCAAACACCGCGTCCATAACTATTAATACAGCAGGTAGTGGACTGGGAGAGAGACGCCTAATGAAAAAGCTCATGAAAAAGCTCATTAATTATCATTTGCTAATGCAAACTACAGGGAAAAAACCTGCACATATATGAGCCCCCCTACCCCCTAGTGTGTGCACATATATCTCCTCATACTTACTACTATTTGCATATTCATTAGTTTTGACCAAAATAAAAGCGTGCACATACTCGGGTTTGAAATTACGCGGCGACATAAAAACCCAGAAATATACAAAAGTATTACATATTACGTTTATTGATAATAAACATATTTAAAAATATAATTTCCACTGTTACAAATGTTTGAGTCGTGTTGTTAAAATTCACGTCACGGACATGTCATTCACACGTGAGGCAGTGTTTGTAGGAGTGAACGTCTGATATCGTTGTTACTGCTATAATATTCTAATTTCCAGTACTTTTCAGTACTTGTGTGTGTGTGTACTGAACGTCTCGTTCTGTCTTTGTCCATGACTGCAGACACTGTAGTACTGTGTGTTTCATGGGTTCGTTAGATACACGTTAGGGACACCATTTTATATGTTTATTTCTTATTCTTTTTTATTATTATTTGGGAGTCCTAAAAGTTATAGTGACTTTACTTTTATGTTATTTTATAATTACGTTTAAAACTGAAATTATTAATAATTATATATCAATTATATAATAATTTTGTGTGTCTTTAACGACTGACTCCAGTTTTTTGGCATAGAGTGAAAACACAGCTACATGTTATATGGAACTGGACAGAAATGTTACAGTGTAATTTACATTGTATTTTTAGACCGCTTTGTTCTTCTTCTTCTACTGATTCACTTTCTGGAAACCTCAAGTCTTGGTCCTGGTTTTGGGTCAGAAAAAAAAACCTGGTTTAAAACGATCCTCTTTGCGACGACTAATGTGACGTCACAATCCTATTGAGATTGTAGTTGTAAACGATTTAAACAATTAAAATATATTACAAAAATCAACCGAAATAAACACATTTCTAACTAGCATTATTTTGTCATTTATTATATTTATTATTTATTTATTTTAGAATATTAACAAAAGTATTTAAAATGTAAACACACAATTTTACAATTGTTTTACAACGTATACGGAATTTAAAACATTGTATTTAAATTAGCTAACTTTTACCATTGAAGAATTCTTAAAATATATCGTAAAATGTCCATGTCGTTCGTTATTATTTGTATAATTAGATTTATTTGTTTTGAGTTTATTTTACTACATTCATCTTAATTAAAGTTTTTATGTAAAATAAAATCATTTTAGAATTTCCACAAATTTCCCAAACAATGCAGCCATTAGTAGTGCATGGAAAGTTATACACTATATATGACACTAACATGATATATTTTTTAAAAGATATATGTATATATTAAATTTATAAAATTCATATTTATTTGTTTAAGGAAGTTAATTTCACATTCCGTACTTTGAACATATTTCATCACCAATTTGTCACAGAAAACAGTGCCGTGATTATTTAATGTAATTAGATAATTAACATAATTCAAGCTTTATGCTTTGTTATAGCCATATGTAATTTGTGAATAAAAGTGTTTTTAATTTATAAATGTAATAGTATTGATCCACACTGTGAGCCTCACAGCCCCTGAATAAATACACATAAAAAAAGATTTTTTTCCTACACACTAATTCAGAGTTCCAAAGATGTTTTTTTTTTTTTTTTACATGTGCAGTTTGTGTCTGAACAGATCAAACTCCACTTTGACTCCTATTTAAAATGATAAGGTTGAAAAGAAAGGAGTGGACGGAGGAGGGAGAGGGGAACAAAAGGGCACAGTAATGCAGCGGAGGATGGGTGAGGGGTGTGGAGGGGGGGGGGGGGGGGGGGGGGGGGGGGTCTCTCAGTGGGACTGGAGGTGCATGACACTGTATTGAGATTCCAGAAATCCAGACTCTCCATGCATGTCCCTGATGGGGTTTTGACTGACATGACGGGCATAGAGGATTGTTGTTTTGAAATAGGGGGCAGGGATACAGGT